TGCAAGGTTTCAGCGAGGGTACAATGGAGGTTTACCAGCACTGTATTAGAGATGAGGAATACGGTTATGTGAAGAGATTGAAGAAGTTGCCATTATTTTACTTAGCACAGAGAAGGTTCAGAACAGCCTTGATAGAAGCATTCAAAATTATCGGAGCTTTGATCAGGTCAGTGAAGGGAACCTGTTTGCTCTGGGAATTGGGACAGTAAGCGGAGGTCAGGGATTTAAAATACTCGGCAGAGGAGCAAGAACAAAAACGATGAGAGACGCTTTTACACAGATATTAAGATCTGAAATGCACTGTCTCAAAACAGGTGGAAACAGATTCTAAGAGCTTTCAAAATGCAACTTGACATGTTCTTGAAGAGGAATAATTCATAGAGAAAAGCAGGTGCCTGGGGCTCCATTCTTTCAAAGAAGCAACACTGGCATGATGGGCCAAGTGGCCTCTTTCTGTGCTGTTAGCTGTCATGATTCTGTGATAGGATCCATTCTATATAATACACAAGGTGTAATTCTGTTGCTAAGGTGAGGTCATCAATAATGCGACCTATTTGAAAGTTTAATGGTTAAAATGTGTACACTTGGAGCTACTGAAAAGATGCAAAGTATCACATTTTTCAAACACCTACAAAGGAATTTGATGAATTCAATAATGACTGTGACCCAGCTTGCTTAATCATCTTGTTTGTGCTAAAAGAAAAGGTGTTTTTCTAATCATTGTCCTGAGGTTTTGAAGCCGTACAGTTTAAGTCTCCATTTTTCTAGTATAATAAACACAAAGAATTGCGGATGCTGGAAATCTGCAAGAAAAGTAGAAACAAAAAAGAAAAACAAAGAGCAGGTCTGGCAGCGTCAATTGAGAGAAAAACAGGGTTAATGTTTCGAGTCCAATGACACTTTGTCAGTTCTGACAGGCTATGTTTCTACAACATGCTCTGTTCTGTATTCCATTTTTTTTCCGTGTTTGGAAGATATAAGACACCCCCTAATGGATTCTACATGCTATTACATTTTACTGCTTACAACATGATTGTAAAACTCATTGGCTAAATGCAGGGAATAATGGAAAGCAAATTGTTTTAATGATAATCATCTCAATTTTGGATGTTGCTATGATCCCAGCTGATGTCACTACTGGATATGTCAAATCCCAGAATGAAATATGGCTTGATTGGCCACATGCTTTTTTTTCTTTTTAAGAAAATGGCAGTCTTTCACTGAAACATGACCACTCAAGGCTGCAGATTTTGTTTAAACAATGGAACAGAAGTACAATACACAAAATAAATAAAAGTTTTAAAGATACAAGGTACCCACTTAAAACACAGTTTCAAAGATTTCAAACACACAGCCAAAACAATCCCATTTATTTCCAAACACCATCATTTTAAAGTTGATTAAAAAATCCAGAGAAATTTTCCCTTCCCATTAATTCTGTACATTTGACTAAACTACTTCTCAATTCTGGTGTGAGCTGTGAGGCCAGATCCTTCGACCACTCACACAACAGAGAACTTAGACTTCCTCAAACATTTAATAAGCTGGAAAGTTCCAACCAAACACTCCTTAGCTAAAAGTTTTACACAAACTACAACATTTTCACTGAGGCAACCTATTTCCTTAACTGCTCTGAATAATCTCCTTCACTAGGAGAAACTATTCTTGCATCTAACCACAGTCAGAACTTCTTTGAACTGAACAAAAGCTTTCCCATCTCTGGGTTTTTCCAAGCTAAAACCAGTCCTTGATTATTCTAATCTTAAAAGCAAATTTAAAAATGCCTTCTCTTTCCTGGTGTAAAACCCTACAATATAAACAAACTTTAATTAACACTTTCAGTCATCGGCTGTTTGACACATGGTGGTTTAAAATCTAGGCTTTAGAAAAAGGGTGACCTCGTTAATTATTAAAGTCCTTCACACAAAAAAAAGGCCTCAGCATCCCTGACAAGCTGTCCTAGACCATGGCACTGGGCAGACAACACAGCCTGTCACTTTCCTTCTCTTTGTCCTTTTAAGATTGTCCTTCAAACCACCTCTTTGTCCAATGCCACTCGTTTGAAATCCAAACGTTAAAACAAAACCATCCTGATATATATACATCACACCTTCCATCACAATGTGGGATAATCAAGGACATCTTTCTCACATCACAATCATATATTCTTAAAAAGCTAATTGTTTGCTTGTGTTCTTTTTTCACAGGGTGGATTTTCCATAAGATTTTAATATTAAATGGCATAGATAAACGTTAACTATTTAATGAATTTAATGTAATGTGATCCACTCCACCAGATTATTGCCTAGGCAGTGAACAGGAATATTTACCTCACATTTAGAATCCTTGCCTAACTCCAACAACTGAATTTATATAGCATCTTTAATATAACAAAATATCTAAAGGTGCTTCACTGGAATTTTATCAAACATAATTTGAAAACAAACCACATATGGAATTATAAGGTCAGATGACTAAAAGTTTGGACAAAGAAGTGGTTTGAAGGACAGTCTTAAAAGGACAAAGAGAAGGAAAGTGACAGGCTGTGTTGTCTGCCCAGTGCCATGGTCTAGGACAGCTTCTCAGGGATGCTGAGGTACCTACAGTAGGAAGATCCAGTTGTCATGGTCAATGCAGATACAAATGACATAGATAAGATAAAGGAGATTCTGCACAGACATTATGAGTAGCTAAGTGCCAATTAATTAACAGTCATAATCAAAGGTTATAATCTCTGCATTATATAGTCATGGAGTCATAGAAATTTTACAGCATACAAACAGGCCCTTTGGCCCATCGTGTCCATCTCATAAAAATCACAATCACCAGATAAATTGTACTGAGTAAATTGTCAGAGCTGCAGGCTGACAAGTGCCTGTGGCCTGATAACATTTGCCTAGGGTCTTAGAAATACATGGTTAATGCGTTGATTTTAATTTTCAAAGCCTTCCTTGTTTCGGGGATGATCTGTAAAGATCACTTTTTTAGACTGTGGACTAAATTGGGAAAGATACTGCTTTAAACCAAGGAAGCCATGTACAGAATGAAGAAGTTTGCAGTTTTAAAAGCAAGTTACTGGAACACATTGTGAATCGTATCGACAATGCTGCCTTATTTGAGCAGTGAGAGAGAATTGCAAATGGAATGTATATCCGGGGTAATTTTACCCAGAGGCAGTTTTCTAATGGGCTTTTTGATCAGGATCATTCTGGGCTCAGGAAGCCACAGCATAGTAGCTACCATTTGATTGGTTCTCAAGCTTGTGTGTGGACAATACATCCATCTCTCCCTCTCCCTTCTGTGTGGAAAAGTAAGAGAAGATCTCTAGTAGCGAGCTACTCCCTCTCAACTTTCTCTGTAAGTTGTTCACTCTGCAAATCCCTTGTTGAAAGGAAAAGGTGGAGAGCCAACATCAGAGTAAGATTCAACTTCCAGTAAGATGGCAGCAGAGTAGGGCTTCTGAGCCTGGTGCTCATCTGCTTCGGCCACTTTTCTTTTCGTTTCTCTTTTCTTCTCTCTTTTTTTTTCTTTTTCCTCTTTTATTTTACTTACTCCTTACTGAAGAGCTCAGTCACAGCTAAGGCACTGGTGGCAATGAATGGACCCAGCGTGCATTTGTAGCAATTGGTGAGTGGGACCAACAGCGCAGACTCGTGGTGGCCACGAGCTTAGTTTCCTAGTGGCTTCTGCATCTTTGAGGAGGTCCTAGCGTTAACTCATGGGTGCTGCTGTGGAGGCAAGTTTGGGATCCCCGCGACATCTGCGTCCAGTGTAGATTCTTGGAGGTGATGGCCGAGGTGAGTTTGGGTCCAGTTCAAGACCCTGTCACTTCAGTGGCGGCTGCAATGGTGAGGTGGGCTTGATGTGTACTCATGGGGTGGTGGAGCTGAGTTTGCGACGGTGCGGTACCTGGCGATATCTGCATCGGCGAGGTCCAGCAAGAACTTATACTGGTGAAGGCGTTGGTGGAGGTGAGATGGCGCCGAAAAGTGGCAACTTTTTGTTCCAGCAGTGGCAGTGAAGAGGACTCATGCCTGGCCATCAGGCCCATGGCTCATGGCAGAGCACTCAACAAGAAAGGCTGTAAAGCTGAACTCTTTTTATTTTTCTGCCTTTATATTCTATGTTTTGGTTTAGTTTTCTGTGTTTTAAGATGGCACCAGAAAGTGGCAACATGATACAATACACATGACAATAAATAAATCTAAGTGATTCATCAAGCCAGGTTTGAACCTGGGATATAACTCTGCAGAATCACACAAGTGTTACGTGAGGGAGGAGGCCATCAGCCCAATGTGTCTGCACTAGCACTGATTGTGCAGTAATAACATTAGCTGGGATCATAACAACATTTAGACCATCATAATACAATCAGGCAGAATTAGCCTGGTTTTCTAAAAGGGAAATCACATTTGAAAAATGTATTAGAGCTCTTGGAGGATGTAAAAAGCAGAGTTGATAGGGGGAATGGATACCGTCTATTTATCTTTCCAAAAGGCATTCGATATGCTACCACAGAAAAGATTAATGCACAAAGAAGAGCTTGTGGTGCTGAGGGCGATGTACTAGCATGGATAGAGGATTGGCTAACCAAGAGGGAGCAGCCAGTCAAGATTAATGGGGCATTTCCAGGTTGGCAAACTGTAACTGGTGGCTTAGGGTTGGTGTTTCAACTATTTACAATCTATATTAATGAGTGAAGAGAAAGGCTATATTGTAGGCAAATTTGATGATGATGCAAAATATGTAGGAAAGAAAGATGTGAGGAGGAAACAAAGAGTCTACAAAGGGCGTAAACAGGTAACTGAGTGGGCACAAAATGGCAGCTGGAGTATAATGTGGAAAAATGTCAAGTTCAGTTCAACAAATTTGTGTCACTGTTTATGTTTCCTCCTCAACCTTCCTCACATCCTACTTAAATCTGCCATGTCAACATAGGCTCCTATTCCTTCAGTCCTCTTATGCCGACCTATCTTCACCTTAGATGCATCAATGCTATTCACGCCAACTGTGTCTTTAAGTAGTGAATTTCACAAACTGCACTTCCAGGGCAGGGCTTTCTCCTGTAAACTAGCAAATATACAATTAGTTATAAGGCCTAACATTTCAAAAGGCAAATCCACAAAGTTCTTAAAAATAGGCCAAGGGTGAAATATACAAATGCTAACATTTGTACAGCATAAATCAAGCAGCACATTTTTGAGATTCACAGCTCAAGCATATCATAAAAAAGACACCCTTTGTCAAAGTTTTTGGTCTTGGTGATTCCACAAGAATAAAAACTTGAGGGAAAAGCCAACATTAATATTGTTTGATTGGAAAACAGATTGGAAAACAGCAAATGTGACACCACTGTTTAAAAAGGGAAGTAGACAAAAGATGGGGAATTATAGACCGGTTAGCTTAACCTCTGTAGTGGGGAAGATGCTTGAGTCTATTATCAAGGAAGAAATAGCAAGGCATCTTGATAGAAATTGTCCCTTTGGGCAGACGCAGCATGGGTTCATGAAGGGCAGGTCATGCTTGACAAATCTTTTGGAATTCTATGAAGACATTACGAGCGAGGTGGACAATGGGACCCAGTGGATGTGGTGTACCTAGATTTCCAAAAGGCCTTTGACAAGGTGCCGCACAAGAGGCTACTGCATAAGTTAAGGATGCATGGCATTAACGGTAAAGTATTAGCATGGATAGAGGATTGGTTGACTAACAGGAAGCAAAGAGTGGGGATAAATGAGTGCTATTCTAGCTGGCAGTCAGTGACTAGTGGTGTGCCTCAGGGATCGGTGTTGGGACTGCAATTATTTACAATTTATATAGATGATTTGGAGTTGGGGACCACGTTTAGGGTGTCAAAGTTTGCAGATGACACTAAGATGAGTGGCAAAGCAAAGCGTGCAGAGGACTGTGAAACTTTTTAGAGGAACATAGATACATTGAGTGAGTGGGCAAAGGTCTGGCAGATGGAATACAATATAAATAAATGTGAAGTCATACATTTTGGTAGGAGTAATAGAAAAAAAGGATTATTACTTGAATGGTAAAAAGTTGCAGCATGCTGCTATGCAGAGGGACCTGGGTGTCCTTGTGCATGAATCACAGAAGGTAGGTCTGCAGGTACAACAAGTAATTAGGAAGGCAAATGCAATTTTGTCCTTCATTGCTAAAGGGATTGAAATAAAAAGCAGAGAGGTTATGTTGCAGCTGTGGTACAAGGTGCTGATGAGGCCACACCTGGAGTACTGTGTGCAGTTTTGGTCTCCTTACTTGAAAAAGGATGTATTGGCACTGGAGGGGGTGCAAAGGAGGTTCACTAGATTGATTCCAGAATTGAGGGGGTTGGCTTATGAGGAGAGACTGAGTAGATTGGGATTATATTCATTGGAATTCAGAAGATTGAGGGGGGATCTTATAGAAACATATAAAATAATGAAGGGAATAGATAAGATAGAAGTAGAGAGGATGTTTCCACTGGCAGGTGAAGCTAGGACAAGAGGGCATAGCCTCAAGATTAGAGGGAGCAGATTTAGGACTGAACTGAAAAGGAATTTCTTCACCCAGAGGGTTGTTAATCTATGGAATTCCTTGCCCAGTGAAGTAGTTGATGCTACTTCAGTAAATGTTTCTAAAAAAAAGTAGATTTTTTTTGAACAATAAAGGAATTAAGGGATACGGTGAGAATGCGGGTAAGTGGATCTGAGTCCACGAAAGGATCAGCCATGATCTTATTGAATGGCGGAGCAGGCTCGAAGGGCCAGACGGCCTACTCCTGCTCCTAGTTCTTATGTTCTTATGTTTACAAGTAGATTCTGATCACTAGATGTGTTGCCATGGCCAATGCATGAGTTAATGAAGATTGACAGTTAACTTTCAGGCGTTGCTTAAATTTTAAAAGTTTACCCTGATTGGTCCAGGCATTGCCATGAGAAATGGACCAGCAAATGGCTGTCACCTATCGTATTGTATTAAAACAGATGCAGAGAATGTAGATATAACACAGTGTGGAGCTGGAGGAACACAGCAGGCCAGGTACCATCAGAGGAGTAGGAAAGTTGATGTTTTGGGTCAGGACCCTTCTTCAGACCTGAAATGTCAACTTTTCTACTCCTCTGATGCTGCCTGGCCTGCTGTGTTCCTCCAGTTCCACACTGTGTTATCTCTGACTCCAACATGTACATGTTTTTCTGTTTGCAAAGAACAAGACCCAATGTGTCACATTGCAAACTAAACTGACAATCCTAAATTGTTTGTCAGCATAAATCTTTACACACTCAAGATTCTCCAATGCAGGTTCGATACAGAATCACATCCAATATTGGATACTGTGCTGTGAGTGTTGCAAGCACGTGTTGGTTAGCTATGGTCAGTACCTTGCTTGTTGCAAACAGACAAAAGGATAAGCTATTTGATACCAGTCTTTGGTATATATAGTCTAATTACTTGCCATCACAATGGCACTGAAATTCATATTTCATATTCCTCAATTATGCAATAGACGTAATGTGTTTTTGGTTTGATATTGGCATCCTGCTAGAGGTGAGCACTACTTATGTTGCCACTGTACAGTAGCATGTGAAACAGCTAGTTTCATCTGTAACTCAAATTTATGAGATAGCTAATCCTTCCAGGGTAATCTGAGGTAGTCTGGGCACTTTCCAGGACCAGATGTGACAGCCTTATGGCTGTTTGTGTGATTTACAGTGTGAAATGATCTGATTGGGATAACTATAGGTTAGAACATAAGAACATAAGAGCTAGGAGCAGGAGTAGGCTGTCCCGGCCCTTTGAGCCTGCTCCGCCATTCAATAAGATCATGGCTGATCTTTTCGTGGACTCAGATCCACTTACCCGCGTTCTCACCGTATCCCTTAATTCCTTTATTACCTTTGATACATGTTATTTCAGCATCAATCTTGTAAAATGAATAAATAGCTCAGATCCTGTTTATGAGATTGCCTATAAAGCCAATGTTATAGCATACGGAACTGTAGGATTCCCAACATATGCTCTGACCAGTGAAGGTAGGTTTACTGGAGACAATAGTAGAAAACCCACCAGATGATTTCTCAATGAGATCGTCAAGGACAGGGAGCTCATTTGACTGGTCCATTTCAACAATGAATTTCAGTGCAGGATGCAGCTTAATAAGACATGCAAGGACATCTTTACATGCAGCTGACGATTCGAATGCAGCCAATGTATCATCGACGTATCAGAAATCTGCAAGGGGAAAGAGGTTAGGTGTTAATCCATTGATGACATATTTCTCATGGAATCTGAAAAATGTTTGCTAGAGTTGAGCTCAGTAGGGATCCCATGTAAAACCACTTTCTTGGGCATATATTGCGTCGCTGAACTAGAAGACAACTGTGCAAGTTCTGAGTTCATAAATTCAATGAATACAAATCATGCAATGGTGGTGGCTCTGGGCTATCATGGTATAGTGCTGCGGTGCAGGTGCCTGGAGCATCTTTGAATGGTACATTGGTGAATAAGCTCGCCATGTCAAATGAGCACACTGACAATGCATTACTATTGATATGCAAATCCTGTATGGTCTTTGCAAATGTGAAGGTATCCTTCATTACGTAAGTTGAAATCTTGCTCAAAACTGATTGCAGCAATTCACCCAAACATTTGGCCAGTTCATGGTGTGCTGAATCTATCCTAGATCAAATAGGTGCAAGAAGATTGTACTTCTGTCAACAAAGGGGCGGGATAGTTATCCTTAACAAACGTGACCATATCAACAAAATGTGTGCCATTCTTAATGATGGGTCCAAATTTGAATCCATTGGACCTGTTGCTGAGTATGGCCTGATAGCTTCAAGATAGTAAGAACCGCAGATGCTGGAGTCAGCGATAACACCGTGTGGAGCTGGAGGAACACAACAGGCCAGGCAGCATCAGATGAGCAGGAAAGTTGACGTTTCAGGTCGGGACCCTTCTTCAGAGGGTCTGGTGACCGTTCCTCAGTTCTGAAGAAGGGTCCCAACCTGAAACATCAACTTTCCTGCTCCTCTGATGCTGCCTGGCCCACTGTGTTTCTCCAGCTCCACATTGTGTAATGACCTGATAGCTTCCCTTGAAAACAAGGTTAAACAAAAATGCTTGCTGTAAGAGTAATGAGCTGCTTCCTCACAGCTCACTGCATCCAGGTACATATGAGCTGTCCAATACAATCAAATGCCTTCATGCCCTGTCTTGGATGATCGATCTTATGTCCCATGCCTGGATATTGTCCAGGTCTTGGTACATTTAGACATGGACTGCTTCAGTATCTGATGAGTCACAAATAGTGCTTCATACTGTGCAATCATGCCCACCTTGGACCTCATGGTGGAGGGATGGTCATCAATGATGCGTCCTAAGCATTACCCTAAGAAACTCCTGCAGCGATGTCATGGAGCTGAAATGATTAACCTCCGACAACCACAGCCACCTACAACAAAAACAGAAGTTGCTGGAAAAGCTCAGCAGGTCTCGCAGCATCTGTGAAGAAAAAATCAGACTTAATGTTTTGGGTCCGATGACCCTTCCTCAGAACTGCTGAAGGGTCACCAGACCCGAAACATTAACTCTGGTTTACAGAAACAGAGAGAGAGATTGTTTGTAGAAACAGAGAGATAGCGCGGTTTATAGAATCAGAGAGAGACAGATTGTGGGGTATATAAAAACAGAGAGAGATAGGTTTATAGAAACAGAGAGAGAGATAGTGGGGTTTACAGAAACAGAGAGTTAAACCTAACACCAACAGGTTGTCGAGTTTAATTTTACTGATTTATACAACTTTTAAGTGCTGTCGTTATTTTTAAAAAGATACATTTTACCTACATATCAGTAATGGCCACAAGCAGACAATTCAACTTGACTTGTTTGGCTCTGTTTATAGCTGGAGTGCAATTCTTTCTTACAATCGATTCGTCATACTTAGGAGTTCAAAGTGTGTACGTGTTTGCGCAGCTGCCGGATTTGCAGCATTGGTAGACGTGTCGCAATGATTGGTTTCAGAATAGGAAAGGATTAAACGCCGGAAACAATATAAAGGCTGGAGTTAGTGCCGGCTCTCTCAGAATTCTCCCCTAAAGCTAACCGAGGCAGCGGAGTTCTGCCGGGAAGCCCCGGAACTGGGAGACATTGTGTTGAAGCATGTCTCTGAAAAGGAAGGCAGAGTCTGCTGCTCTCAGTATCAACGTGTGTGCAGCCCGAGCGCTTCAGGAACTGCTCAAAACCAACCTGGGACCCAAAGGCACGATGAAAATGTTAGTTTCTGGCGCTGGAGACATCAGGCTGACCAAAGATGGTGGCGTACTATTGAGGGGGATGCAGCTCCAACATCCCACAGCCTCTTTTATTACCAAGGCAGTGGCTGCTATGGATGAGACGGTGGGTGATGGAACCACCTCAGCTGTGCTCCTCATTGGGGAGATTTTGAAACAGGCCCACCGCTACATTTCAGAGGGGATCCATCCCTGAGTCATCGTAGAAGGGTTGGAATTGGCCAAAGAAGAGGCAATCTCCTGCCTGAATGAACTCTGGGAAGACGACGATCAGTTCATCCGGAAGAAGGTGGCTCGGACCTCACTTGGAACCAAGGTTCACTCAGAGTTGGCAGATCTGTTGGCAGATCTGGTGGTGGAGGCAGTGCATTGTGTTTATCAGCGTAGACAACCCATTGACCTTAACCTGGTGGAAATCATGGAGATGCAACATCAGACTGAGTGCAACACTGTCCTTATCAGAGGGTTGGTTCTAGATCATGGTGCTCGGCACCCAGATATGAAAAAGCGATTGGAGAATGCTTACATCCTCACCTTGAACGTGTCTCTGGAATATGAGAAAACAGAGGTTAACTCTGGCTTCTTTTACAAGAGTGTGGAGGAAAGGGAAAGGTTGGTAAAAGCAGAGCGACAGTTCATCGAGGAGAGAGTGAGGGCAATCATAGCGCTGAAGAGAAAGGTGTGCGGCAACTCCGACAAAGGGTTTGTTGTGATCAACCAGAAGGGTATCGACCCTCTGTCGCTTGAGATGTTTGTGAAGGAGGGTATTGTAGCCCTGAGAAGAGCTAAGAGGAGAAACATGGAGAGGTTGCCGCTGGCATGCGGGGGTCTGGCAGTGAACTCTGTGGAAGATCTGACTGAAGAATGCTTGGGCCATGCAGGGCTGGTGTATGAGGAGACACTGGGAGACAGCAAGTACACTTTTATTGAAAAGTGTGATAATCCTCAGTCTGTCACACTGCTTATTAAAGGACCCAACAAACACACCATCACTCTGATCAAAGATGCCATTCGGGATGGCATGCGAGCTGTGAAGAATACCATTGAGGATGGTGCTGCCATGCCTGGGGCAGGAGCTGTCGAAGTTCGCATCGGAAGCCAGTTACTAGACTACTGTAAAGATCAAGTCAAACGTTGTGCACGGTTTGGATTTCAGGCGTTTGCTGATGCCATTCTGATTATTCCAAAGACGCTGGCCCAGAATGCTGGATATGATCCTCAAGAGATTGTGTCAAATGCCCTGAGCAGAAAACGTCAGACGACCCTTCCAGTGGGCATTGATTTATCCAGTGGTGAGCTAATAGATGATTGGGAGACTCCTATATGGGACAATGCTTGTGTCAAGCATCAGCTGATACATACGTGCACTGCAGTAGCAAGCAACCTCTTATTGGTAGATGAGATTGTCGGAACAGGAATGAATTCAGACAAAAAGTGACTACATCTGACTGGATTATCAAAATCTCATCAATTTTGTGACTGAATTGATTGTTTAAAAAAAAAGGACCGATCAGAGATAGCACGAAAGTGAGAAATAAAAAAAAAGGTGATATAGGAAATACAAAACAAATTTGGAATGTCCAGAATGTGATTAATGATAGATACATCACATTCCATTATTTTGGAAAGAATAAGTGACTCTATTACTCTCTAAAGCCATAATGGCTGTGATTGAGTAAATATTGTCAATCTGTCATTGTTTTCCTAGACCTTTATTCTTCTGCATTATTTCACTACAGTCCTGTAAAGGAATCATTCAGTGTTGTGTAACGATACTGTGGCTTTAAGAGGTGTATTTTGTCCTGGTGTTTTTTATGAAGAAAGGTTGAGACAGAGGAGACAAGCAATCTGCTCAAAGCCAAAAAAATGTAAACAGCTGGGAGGCCTTGGGTTTTTGTTTTAAAAAGTTGGAAGAATAAAAGCAGTCTGAATGGGTGAGGTCAAGCTCCCACAGAACCAGGAACAAAAACAGAAGTTGCTGGAAAAGCTCAGCAGATCTGGCAGCATCTGTAAGAAAAAATCAGAGTTAACGTTTCGGGTCCAGTGACCCTTCCTCAGAAGGACCCAAAACGTTAACTCTGATTTTTTTCTTCAAAGGTGCTGCCAGACCTGCTGAGCTTTTCCAGCAACTTTTGTTTTTGTTCCTGATTTACAAGCATCCGCAGTTCTTTTGGTTTTTATTTAGTATTGCACAGAACCAGGATTTTTAGTTTTCGCTTTCTGCAATTGCTGGGGTCTTGAAGCTGAATATGGAAGTTGTTATTCCTCTCCCTGTTACAGCTAAAAGCTGGGATTCTCTTCCTGCTGCTAGAATTGCAAGTGAGACAATCTATTTTACTGATTTTTGCCTTTGCTAGGGGTGTGTTTATGGGATATTGCTATATTGGAATAGTTAATTAGTTGTAGTTAATATATATCTTATTTTGTTAAGCATTTGGATAGAGTTATAGTTAAGCCAATACTTTTCCTTAATTTTTATTTTGTCTGTACTTTAACTGTAGGGTAAAAGTAGTGTGTTTTGCTTAACATCGAGTAGTCTGGAATGCATCTGGAACGCAATGCCTTACACTTACCTTAAAAATAAGAAAAGGTTAGGATCTAGGCTGTCTTCTTAATATATTTTGAAGGGGTCTGGTTTGGTCCATAACAATTGGATTCAAGATGATGCCTGTATTTTTCTTAAAGTGAAATAAAATTGGCAAACCATTGATTTATTCAACTTGCATCAATATTTTGCAGAATATTGGAAAGGGCAGTATATCCTGTTTTTCAATCAATCATCAGTTCAGAAGCAAAACTAAAAGCACTATAATATTTAGGAGATCAAAACTGATAAAATGGAACTGTTTATTTCAACCTCCTGAGTGCTTCCAGCACTTTTCTTATTTCAGATTTCCAATGTCTGCAGAGTTTTTTTTATTACGTTAAATGTTTAGATGAAGAAGCTTAACTCTGCAACTGTCAAGGCTCTATTCAGTGGGATGAATGCGTAGCATGGTGGCTCAGTGGTTAGCACTGCTGCCTTACAGCACCAGGGACCCGGGTTTGATCCCACTCTTAGGCGACTGTCTGTGTGGAGTTTGCACATTCTCTTCTTGTCTGTGTGGGTTTCCTCTGGGTGCTCTAGTTTCCTCCCACAGTCCAAAGATGTACAGTTTGGATGGATTGGCCATGCTAAATTGCCCATAGTGTCCAGGGATACAGGCTGGGTAGATTAGCCAGGGAAAATGTGGGTGGGATGCTATTCAGAGGGTCCTTTTGGACTTGATGGGCCAAGAAGCCTGCTTCCACACTGTGTGGATTCTATGATTCTGTGAATGATAAAATGTCAGATTGGGTAAAGCCATCTGACGATTGACTCTTCTAAGTATTTTTGTGTTGTGTACCTGTCTATTTGAATGCAAAATGTCTTTTTTTCATGACTCTATGCCCTTTAAAATATCACACATACAATGTGTAAGCATCCTATGCAGTACCTTCAGTTTTACAATAAACTTTACTGCTGATTGAAACCATTTTGCAAGCAGCATCAAGATAATATTACGCAACTTAGATGATTAAGTGTCCTTCCTGTTAATGCTAATTACAGGACTTGCATAGGATGGGAATCGCTGCAATTCTGTGAAACGTTTGCCGACCTGTGTTACGGTCATGGGCATCAGTCATGTTATTTCAGATGCCTAACATGAGAAAACAGATCTCCCACACAAGCCCACACTTATTCTATTCTGAGATGTGATGTGGTGCAAGACAAGGCCCAAGTTGTATCTCTGGTCAGAGATGTTAATGCTCAGGGTGAATGCTAGATGCAGATTTGTCCCTAGATTTCTACTATAAGCTCACTTTACTTTGAGACTAGTTGACATCAGTCTCAGAGTCACTTTACTAACAAATTAAACCATGACATAGATTTATTCACAGAGGATCATTTCTAAGAGACGAGCTAGAGTCAGTTAGTAAAATTTTTTTAATTTACTCATCACGTGGGCATCTTTCACAGTCCAGCATTTATTTCCTGTCCCTCGTTGGCCTTGAGAAGGTGGTAGTGCATTCTTGAGCCGCAGCCCTCTATATGCTGTAGGTTGACCCACAATGCCCTTAGGGAGGAGGTTACAGTGAACAAAAGTCATCAAAAAAAATTACATCGTGACTATGACTCAGTTATTGAGTGTATGCATTAGAGTCATAGAGTCATAGAGTGATACAGCATGGAAACAGGCCCTTTGGCCTAAACTGGTCCATGCTGACCATGGAGCCCAATCAGCTAGTTCCAATTGCCAGCATTTGGTCCTTATCCCTCTAAACCCTTTCCATCCATGTACCTATTCAAACGTTTTTTTAAATGTTGCTATTGTACCTGCCTCAACCACCTTCTCTGGCAGCCCATTCCATACACGCACCTCTCTCTGTGTGAAGAAGTTGCCCCTCAGGTCCTTTTTAAATCTTTCCCCTCTCACCTTAAAACTTTGCCCTCTCGTTTTCAATTCCCCATCCCTGGGAAAAAGACGATATACATTCATCCTAACTATGCCCCTCATCATTTTATATACCTCAATAAGGTCACCCCTCATTCTCCTGCGTTCCAAGGAATAAAGTTCTATCCTGGCCAACCTCTCCCTATAACTCAGGCCTACTAGTCCTGGCAACATAGTCATAAATTTTCTTTGCACACTTTCCAGTTTTAACTATGTCTTTCCTATAAAAGGGTGACCACACTTTCCAGTTTTACCTATGTCTTTCCTATAAAAGGGTGACCAAAACTGTACACAATACTCCAAGTGTGGCCTCACCAATGACTTGTACAACTGTAACATACATCCCAACTCCTATACTCAATGCCTCGACCAATGAAGGCCAGCATGCTAAATGCCTTCTTCACCACCCTGAATACCTGTGGCGCTGCTTTCAACAAACTATGTACTTGTACTCCTAGGTCCCTCTGTTCCACAACACACCTCAGGACCTTACCATTTACTGTATAAGTCCTCCTTTGGTTTGACTTTCCAAAGTGCAACACCTCACACTTATCTGTATTGAATTGCATTTGCCAATCCTCAGCCCACATTCCCATCTGATCAAGATCCCTCTGTAATTTTTGATAACCTTCCTCACTATCAACGATATCTCCTAATTTTGTATCACCCACAAACTTACTAATCATGCCTTGTACATTCAGATCCAGACCATTTATGTAAATAACAAACAACAAAGGTCCCAGCACCGACCCCTGTGGCACACCACTATTCACAGGCCTCCAGTCCGAGAAACAACCTTCAACCATCATCCTCTGCTTCCCTACCATCGAGCCAATTTTGAATCCAATTAGCTAGCTCTCCCTGGATCGCATGCAATTTAACCTTCGTGACTAGCCTGCTGTGCGGGACCTTGTCAAAGGCCTTACTTAAGTCCATACAGACAACATCCACTGCCCTAACCTCATCCATCCTCTTGGTTACCTCTTTGAAAAACTCTAAAAGATTTGTTAGACATGACTTCCTGGGCACAAATCCATGCTGACTATCTCTAATCAGATCATGTCTATCCAAATGTTGGTAAGAGAGTCTAAATTTTTCTTTTATTTTGTGCAAACCTAATTTAGTTTCTATTTTGTACTTGGCATTAAACTGAAAAACAAAACACTAAACAGATGTATTCACAACTGATCATCTCCCAAAGGCCAGGAGCTGGAGTCAGTTTAGCAACTAACGTTTTGGAAATGACCATCTGTTAAAAAGTCTATGTCATTATTTAACTTGTTAGTGAGGTAACTGTGAGATTGATTGTGAGTTACTTTATTTTGGACAAACCTAATTCAGTTTGTAGTAAATAGCTGACATTAAACAAAAAGCTACAGTTTAAATGTGGTAGTTGCTTGCTTTAAATGAGCTTTTTTTTCTGTAAAGATTCCAGTGAAAAAGCAGCTTAATTGAGAACCAGCTGATCCTGGATACTCATTAAGAGTCTCAGGTACCTTTTATGTTAGGAGCATATATAAGTAGCCAAAGTAGTGCACCTTACAATAGGGTGCTGGAGTTCAGCACTTCAAGGAGTTCAGGGCAGGAAGCGAAAGATGTATTTAGTTGCTTTTGCATAAACATTTTCATCTGCAGGTATTTATTTTTGCTGGACTACAGGAGAAGTAACTGGTTAATTGGTGGGTATCTAGTAAGTGATTAAGATTTATTTCATTACTAAGGCTGAAAATAGTATTTTTTGAATAAAAGGTGAGTGGGAGAGTATAATGAGCATGGATCAAGAAGCCTATCTGTAGTGAAACTAGTGATGAAGTGATGTCATGAACCACATCGTGACATGAATGCAGGGAAAGTAGCTAATTACTGAATATTTCTAGTTTTTAAATTAAAAGTAAGGTCTTTATGTTTAGTTCTATAGTCTTTTTCTCTCTTCTTCTAAAAGATAGCTTATTAAGTATAAGATTGATAATGCTGAAAAAAATTAATTCCAATAAAGTCTAAAGAGTGGAGAATTCTTCAGTTGTAAAGAATGTTACGAAAGTAATTAATGCATTAAAGTATGCTAGTGATGCCTGGATGGGTGATGTGTTTCTGCAGTAGCATGAGGGAGCCTCTGGACACTGAGATAATCCAGAGTGTAGACTTCTGCAGTAAGTGTTTGCAGATTGAGGAACTTTGGATTTTAAGTCTGGAGTCTGAGCTGCAGATATTATAGTACATGAGGAGGGTAAAAGTGACCTGAGTACTTTGCTCCAGGAGGCAATCACATCCTTCAGCTTAGGTAATTAAAAATTGGTCTGTAATCAGGACAGGAGGATCTGACTGCAGGTGAAGCAGATATGTAGACCCAGAAGGTAGCATTCAAGGAACCTTGGCCTCTGTTACTGTCTAATGAGGTTTTTGCAAGCTGTGTGGATGAGATTAGGGACTGTGGGAAAGATGAACAAATTGACCATAACCCCATGGTATAGGGAGCCATTCA